TAGTAAAACAATTACATTATTTTTTCATAAACAGTTTTAATCATAAATGCAATGTATCTGAACTCACAATAAAAACAATTTAATTATAGATTGATTGTTGAAATGTTGTGAATTGAAGGCTATTTCTTAGGTAACTATGCGATGGAAAATGTAACAGAATTTAACGTATAATAAAAACATTGCACCTGTAGTCTACAAATATGATTGTATATTACTATTATTGTAGGAATAAGTGACATTTACTGATTTAAATATATTATTATACTAGTAATAGTCTGTAAGTTAAAAACACATAAAAGTCACTTTAAAACAAAATGAATAAACTGTCCTGATGATTCTATAGAAGCAATTTAACAATAATTGAGGATTTTTATTTAAAAATCTAAATCTATTGCCGTAATTGTGAGCATTCATTGTGTGGACGACATCCGCATAAATGAATGGACAGACTCTTGAGTTGAGGACATTTGCGGGCAATTTGTGGCAAATGTTGCCGCATTAGAGGTACTATAAACCAGAAGCATAGGTCCAGTTGAATTAATTGAGGCATTTGTGATGAAACCACTTAAGACTCTCTGTTACGCCTCATAGACATCAATAATTGGATGCATTTATATTACAACGAATACAGAATTAATTGAATATTTTTGTTCAGATTTACTACATTTGGAAACAAATATTATGTTTTACTCCTATTACTTGTATTTAAATTATGGCTCAAGGTATTACTTCCACTTCTTGTATTCAATTTACTGGTTGCGCTCATTTTGCTTGTAGTTCTCGATACAGAGGCCCCGGTGATTGAGTTGACAGTGTATATAGTGGACAGGTGTGTGATTTTGGATAACTGAGGGTCAACTTCGGCCGACTCCTCGTCCTTGTCTATGGCTGTGTAATGCATACGAAATGCAAATTCTGGTCAAAAAGTCCGTAATTTTCTGCACGTTTTACGCGTAATAATTAGCATTCAATTCATGCTAACCTTTATTTAGCGACAGATAGACACCGATGGAGATGACGATGGAAACGGAGATAATGACAAATACTATGAGTGCCATCATTTTGTACGTCAGTGTATTGGTATCCTTTGGGTCCTTTTGTATCACACGATCACTGATTCCCTTACCATCATCTGCACTGAGCGCAGGAGCCTCTTGAGGGCCCGTCATATTCGTAGGTTTGGCCGCTTTGCCGGTGCAGTCCATTATGGGATATAAGCGATCGCTTGAGCACTGGATATATACAGTATTTTAGGCACAAATGTGTGTCATATTATCTCGTATTCAAGATATATAGCGGAAGGCATACCTCATTGTCTGTCATACCTCTGGTGGTAAAGCACGCTTTGGGACCATTTGGGTGGTCGGCAAATATGAGCGCATACTTGCCCTCCGTGTGAAAGGGGAAAATGACATTAATCTCGAGGTTTGGGTCCAATTTTGCCACGAATTCCGGTATTCTGTATCTCAATTGAGCCGTTCTATCGTTCAATGAGGTCTGGAAGTCTACCCACTCGTAGGCCCTCACCTCTCGACCCGACTGTTGTACGGCAAACACCAAGGAGTTGGCCGTCATATCGCCATTGATTGGTCCGAAAGTGACCGACGGCTTAAAGTCGACAAAATTCAGCCAAATATTAGGAATTTCTCTCCACTCGGAGGTAACGGTGTTTTTGATGTCCATTTTCGGTGAGTTAGTCTAGAGTTTAAGGAATATTCTGTTAACTATTGTTTAAATTTTGGGAATTATTCTCATGAATAATGGCATACTTTATAGAAAGCGATCCAATGTTTGCCATTCGTGTCGAGGAATATGAAACTCATGTTATACTTGCGTTTAATTTTACCCGAAGTCGACATTTGAGGACTTAATTCAATTTTACCGGAACCGCTATTATAGGCGACTGTCCACGAGTTGTTCCCGATATATACCATGCGATTCATTGTCTCTCCGAATACGGCATCGACTCCGAAGTCTAGCCGACGATTGTTGGCTAACCATAGGTTACAAAACTCGTCGATAGGATCACCGGTGATGACTGTCGTGGTAATGGTTATCGCAGCTATAAATGGTAGTTAAGGTATTAGTTATGTGTTTATTACCGTACGTATGAGGGAATACCTAAATATAAAGCTATATTTGAGTACATTTTGAGTTTTATTTACAATTAGACCGAAATTAATGTATGTTTACAAAACAGTAAGCAGTTTACAATATTGTAAATTTAACGGTTATTTAATAATTACTAATTACTAATTACAAATAAATCGTAGATTTAAATTGTGTGCAGATTTTATGCAACAAAAATAACGGAAATAATGAATTTGTGTACCACTTTAATTTTATAATCTATGTGGCTTTTCATGAGAAATAATTAAATAAACCCTTTATAATAATTGTCTTTTACTGTATATTTATCAAATTATACCGTTATGTTAACAATTGTCAACATTAATCTTATCAAATTGTAAATTTTGAATTCTCGCTCATATAATATGAAATTAGAAATGAAAAACTGAAAACTACTATCAATTCATATGATAACTGATTTTGAAGATATTAGCAAACTTGACGACCACTTCATAATCACGTAAACAGATCTCAATATAGGGAACAGATTTGAAACGGATGATAAGATAGGGAACTGTTGCAGTAAACCCTCCATTCATAACATTATGACAGACCCGAACCCAACCGCCAAACCAAACACCAAATATACGATCAAAGGGTTGGACAACTTGGGGAACACCTGTTACATGAATAGCACACTACAGGCGCTGTTCGCCACCACCGAGATCTGGAGGAAGGCTCGACACAAACGGCCCAAAGACAACCGACCACTGCATACGGCAATCATTAAACTGTTGGACGCCGTGGAGGCCAAAGATGACAAGACAAGTGTCGATCCCGAAGACTTCTGGAAGTGTTTCGTCGATTACCGCAAAGAGTTCACCGAAAAGCGTCAGTACGACGCCCAGGAGTTCCTCCGGTTCCTCATCGATGGTCTCCATCAAGAGGTGAATGACGTCCAGAAGACTAAGGCATCCAAGAAGCACAAGACGGGTAGTGCCGCCGTCGCCAACACACCCGTAAACAGCGCCGTTAGCTCGTGGAATAGGTACCGGTCATCGGTGGACAACTCGTATCTCGTGGACATCTTCGTGGGTCAGTTCCGGTCGACCATTCAGTGCAGTGTTTGCGGTCATCAGAGTCACTGTTGGGACAGCTTTTGGGACTTATCTCTGCCGGTGCCCGAAGGCAGTGGGGAAGCGGATGGGGAAACCCTAGTAAGCAAATAACCACGAGTTTGAGACCCGATTCGTGGTCAGCACCTATAGCTTAACCAGTGAACTAAATATGTATATTGTAGGACATCAATAATAGGGACTGGTATATCAGGGAGTGTATCGAGAATTTTTTAGTGAGTGTTTTAATGAGAAATTCATTTCAATATTGAATTAATTAATTAATTAATGAACTGGTGATCAGAAACCCGAGGTAATGGATGGTGACGCTCAGCCCACGTGCGATGTCTGTCGCCGTAAGACACCGGCCCTCAAGTCCACAGCCTTCGAGCGTTTGCCACTCATTCTGATCGTACACCTGAAGAAGTTTGGGAACGACGGACAGAAGATCCTGAAGAATGTCAGAATAGATACAGAACTTCGACTTAACGACAGACTCGCCGAAAGGCAGTACACTTTGTACGCCTCTGTAAACCATAGGGGCTACAGTTGCACGGGAGGTAAGTGTGGTTTAATGAATTCATTATAAATTAAGTGATTTAATTGAGATGTTTTGAAAGTCTGCATTCATTTACAACTGAAATAATAGGTCACTACACGGCTATTGTTCACCGGCGACAAGAGTGGTATAAATGAAATATTCAAAAGCATTTGTCTAATGAATTCATTTTATGATACATTTATGTATTACAGGCATACCATGGATGACGAGACCGTGTGGGAGGACATCAAGGAAATTGATTTTAATAATATGCCCAACGCTTATATACTGTTCTACCGGTGCTCTCCAACTCATAGGAAATGAAATTGAAGGAAATTTTATGAATTAAACGGACAGTTATATTGAATTAAAAACTAATAAACTTTAATTTAAATTGTGTTTTCCAATAAATTTGATTTTAATTAAATGTGTAAATAAAGTTGCGTAGAGGGGGTGGGGATCTAAGTATGTAAATCTATAAACATTAAATAAATTACTATAATTCTGTATATCACTGTAATATCAGTGGCTGTATAATAAATTTAGCTTATTGCAAAACATAAATCTTAATATCAACGTTAACATAATTCATCTTCGTGAAAGTTTTTACACTAATTTTGTTTTTCCAATTCAGACTGAATTTATAAAATAAAATAATTAATCAATAACTTTACGTTATTATATTGAATTTATTTATAACAATTACTGCTACTGGAGTGGCCGCCTTGGAAATGCAATTTGTTTTGTGCTCCAGACTAGACCTGGTCCCGCAATTATTGTCCCGGTTGTGTCAGGTATGTCCCGTTTTTGGGGCTATTATTTCAGTTATGATAAAGTGTTTGGCAATTATAGGGCGACTCCGGCGGCCCTTTGGTTCAGTACGCGGACAGAGCGCGCACTCGGGCTGTACTCATAGGCATCGCCAGTATTATTAGCCGCAGATATACTGACCACTACTATGACGCCAACATTGAGACGCTATACTGGACTCCCGTCCCACCGCTTATTAACTGGATTTTTGAGACCATTGAAAATAATAGTTAATTTAATGGCAATAAAAGTTTTCTAATTATTTAATAACTGGTTGCTTGAGTGGCTTATGAATTGAAACCATATATGAGTAAATAATTCGCTATAATTGTCCAAATGCTAATACATTAGTGGAAAAATAGTATCTGGGATAAATAATTTATTGAAGCAATTCGCTATAAAATCATCAAAATATCGTAAATGTAATTTTTTAATTAATTCAAAGCATATAGCGATTCCGTATAAAAGGTTATGCATTGATGACCCCTCCATCCGACAAAAAGTTGGTTCCCGTCACAAACGAGGCCTCATCTGAAGCCAAGAATAGTATGGCGTTTGCGATGTCTATGGGCTGACCGACTCGTCTGAGCGGGTATTTGCCAATCATGTCATCGTATCTCTGGTCCCTCTGTCGGTCACTCATTCCCAACACATTCAGGAAATTGGTTCTCACGGACGCTGGGCTTCAGTCATACAAAACAAATACATTACTTAACAGTAAAAACATTTCAATTTAATCGTGCGATCATTCATTACTTGATAGCATTCACGCGAATGCCTTTGGGTCCCAACTCTAGCGCCAGACACTTGGTAAACATGTCCAGGGCACATTTGGACATACAGTACAGGGTCATGGGAACAAACTATCATACATGGATAGTATTTTATTAGCATTTTTATGGTTTACTAACACAAGTCAGTGAATACATACGGGTTTGAGTCCACATACACTCGATATGTTAATTATGTTTCCCTTTGTCTGCTCCAAGTGTTCAACACATAGATGAGTCAAATAGACGACTGACTGCACGTTAGTGTCCATCACCTCTTGGTATTTGTCCAAAATGGTGGTGTCAGTGATGGCGCATACCATACCCCGACCCGCGTTATTCACCAATACGTCTAACCTCTTGAGCGCACCGATTGCGGTGTCAACGAGTCGTTTGCAGTCATTGTGTTCACTGATATCCGCCACCACTTCCAGAGGTTTGAGACCTTTTGGCGATACTTTAGCGCATTGATTGGCCACATCTGACACCTTCTGGGAGTTCCGTCCGGTGATTACAACCTGAGCCCCATATCGGGAAAACTCAACGGCAGCTACGGCTCCGATACCACCGCTCGAGCCGGTGATCAACACTACTTTCCCACTGAAGTCTTTTGATGTGGACATTGCTTATTATTATTTGTGTTTTTTATTTAACTTTTATCATAAATAAATTGTCATTTATTTTGAGACTGTTTTTTATGAAAACTTGGTTTATATAGCCATGTATTCATAACTAATATATCAATCATGCTGTATATGAGTGCACTCATTAAGTGTGCCCTTAAATTGTAGAATTAAGTGTTATCTGATTATGTTTTGAAAGTACTGGTACAGGTATAAACTGTTGGTGAACTAATCAAGGTTACTTAATAAGTAATACTTACAGTATACTGTATATTTGCAATTAACAAAGTTTTATGTTACTTTCCATTTATGTTAGATAAAACAGAATATGTGCCACAGATTTCACTGTTGTATGTACAGTAGTGATATAACAATTTAACAGTAGAATTTATAATTTAAAAACATTAAAATTATTAAACATTAGTGAAACATAAATAATAATACAATTTAATACAATTTGTCTTTTCAATGATTTCTACTCCATTTATCTGATATAACTTAACAATAAGTTTTTGAAAACCATTAACCATTAAATAAATATTTTTATTTTAAATATAGTTTATACTGTAGTTTTACATAATTTATAACATTATGTTTAATATTCATATCACAGAACTTTGAACATTATATAAGTCATAATATGCGCCCCTTTTGGCTATCAATTGGTGATGACTTCCCTCTTCGACTACCCTTCCTTTACTGACGACTACTATTTTATCGGCATTTTGTATAGTCGACAGTCGGTGCGCGATCACAATACAGGTGCGACCCTATCGTGTAATCATTACCAGATTAGACACTGATTTATTACAAACTCATAACAAATAACTCATACCTCCCGGGCCTCATCCAGTGCCTGTTGGACTACCTATAAATCAAACAGAGTATGAATTTGTTGTTAAAAACTCTAAAATAATTTCTACAAACCTTTTCACTTTCGGAGTCGAGAGCACTGGTAGCCTCGTCGAGGAGCAGTACGTCGGGCTCCCTGACCAGCGCCCGGGCGATGGCTATCCTCTGCTTCTGCCCACCGCTGAGTTGAGCGCCTCTGTCGCCGACGGGTGTGTCGTAACCCATGGGTAATGATTTAATGAACGCGTGAATGTTGGCCCTCTCGGAGGCCCGGATGATCTCATGGAGGCTAACGGCGCGACTGTTGTCTCCGTAGGCGATATTCTCGGCGATACTGTACCCGAAGAGCACCGGTTCCTGGGATACGATACCCAGCTTTCGGCGCAGCCATTGGATGTTGAGGTTCACTATATTCTTGTTGTCGAGAATCTACAGAATTGTGCAAAATATTGGTACAAATTATTAGGGAATTTGTGTTAATATTGCAGAATATTCTGTACGAACGGTGTGTCCGACGTCCGGGTCGTAGAATCGTTGCATGAGTTGAATGATAGTACTCTTTCCGCACCCGCTGGCGCCTACCAGTGCCACTGTCTGTCCCTTTTGCACGTCAAAAGTGAGGCCTCTAAGTATTTTAGTGTCGGCGCGGGTCGGGTACGTGAACTCAATGTTCCGGAAGCTGACGTTCCCGTTGCACACCAATGGCTTTTCGCCGACCATTGGGTCGACACGTATTTTCGGCACTCTGTCCAACAGTTTGAATATATTAACCGCCGCTTTCCTACCGGTTTGGTAGTCCGGTGCGAATGCTTAATAAAGTTTCAATATCTAATTAATAGATACAATTGTTTAATGTGTTTTGTGTGACATACCAACTGCCTGTCCAACCATAGTCGTGCCAAATATGACCGCCTGAACACACCTTTGGGTTTAGAAACAAAATTTTAAAATTATTTTTGTTTAATTTATGAATAGTAAGTAACTTATGACTGACTTAAATAGGTTGCCGTACTCGAGCTGCCCGTCCACTATGAGTCGACTGCCGTAGAAGAGTGCGATGGCATAGGAAAAGTTACCCATACTTTGGGCGATACCGAAGGAAATGCCCCTCAAATGGGCTGTTATTCGCGATTTCTTGAACTGTGTTTCCAATGCCTTCATGTAATTCACGATAAATGCCTTTTCCTGATGTAGTGACGCGACCGTCCGGACACAACTGATGGCTTCCACGGCTATCTGTCCACACAAATAGGTAACAGGTATTAGACTAACCATTAGTGTATATGACTGTCCAAAACGAACTGACCCTCGAGGCCTCTTCTTTGGACTTCTTATCGCTGGACACCTGAGCGCCGGTAATCCTGAGCTGAAGGAAACTCGACATAATGACCAGTGGTATGAAACAGCTGATGACTAGTCCTAGTTTCCAGCTATAGTACAGCGCCAGTACAACGCCGGCGCCCAGAGTTGCCGCCGCCTGACAGAGGGTCGACAGTCGAGAGCCGGCCGCCTATCGTACGAATGGATTCGTTAATCGGATTTAACAGTAATTTTGTGTTTTTGTGTCCAACACTCACCCCCTTAACACTGGACGCGTCGGACGATAGCCGTGAACAGAGAGCACCGGTACTGTTGTTGGTGTCGTCAAACCAGGCGACCTCCTGTCTTAACATCGCTGTGAATACCATTCTTCTGAGTCTCATTGTCAGCCGTTCGCCACAAATGCCAAACAAAAACATCTTTAAATGCAAACACAAGTGATAAAAGCTATAATTCAATTGCATATAAGGCTGTGGACTACCTGTGCGAACGATAGGAGTGCGGCGGCCACACCGATGGCCACGAATAGCATGGAGTACAGGAGGACGTCGTCCTCGATCTGATCCGTAGACGACTGCGAGAGTGTGTTCAGGATTTGGCCGAAGACGGTGGCGAAGGCCGGTATGATGAGACCCATGAGGAAAGCCATCACACTTCCCGTAAAGGCCAGGAGTTTGTCGTCTTTTAGTAAACCAAATAATCGTCGCAAAGAGGCCGACGACGACTCATCCCTGTCCTCGTCATCTGTCTCAACGACGCTCTGTTTGGGTCTTAGCGTCAAATCCCGACCACTTCTATCACTCTCAACGCTAAACCCTCGCGAAAGTACCGCCCGTTTGTCCGACACGTCATTCCTCTGGTGCTCATTACTATCGGCGCCATTATCGTTATCCATGTCCTTGTGTTGCGTTTGCACTAACTTATAGTAGAGGCCCTCCCTGTGCATCAACTCCTCGTGAGTGCCCACTTCGGCCACTCGGCCACTGTTTATCACAAATATCTTGTCGGCGTATCGGACGGTCGACAGCCGGTGCGCCACAATGACTGTGGTTCGGCCCACACTGGCCCTGTCCAGAGCCGCCTGCACTACGGCCTCACTCTGGGTGTCGAGAGCGCTGGTAGACTCGTCCAGAAGCAGTATCTTCGGTCGCCGTACCAAAGCCCTGGCGATGGCTATGCGCTGCTTCTGGTCCATTCCAGAGATATTTAAATTATAGCCAGAAACAACAATATTGTATTACCTAATATATATTATATGTAATATCACTATAAACAGTGAAATCTGTGGCACATATTCTGTTTTATCTAACATTCATTGGAAAGTAATATAAAACTTTGTTCATTGCAAATATACTGATACAGTATACTGTAAGACTTACAGTGTAAGTATTACTTATTAAGTAACCTTGATTAGTTCACCAACAGTTTATACCTGTACCAGTACTTTCAAAACATAATCAAATGACACTGAATTCTACAATTTAAGGGCACACTTAATGAGTGCACTAATATACAGCATGATTGATAAATTAGCTATGAATACATGGCTATATAAACCAAGTTTTCATAAAAAACAGTCTCAAAATAAGTGACAATTTATTTATAATAAAAGTTAAATAAAAAAAACACAAATAAGCAATGTCCACATCAAAAGACTTCAGTGGGAAAGTAGTGTTGATCACCGGCTCGAGCGGTGGTATC